ATGGATATGGATACTAACGATCAGCAGCCAAAGCAAGGAAATTGACTGATTTTGCCTTCGGTTGACTGTTGAGCTACGATTTTACCAGGCCGGTACACAAATACCCTGATTGTAGTGGAAAATAGGATTTTAGAAGGAAAAAAACTATGTTCGGTCCTGTGAGTGGTAGGATTTTAATCCAGAAAATTTTTATTTCCAAAAAACAATAGTTTTATGAACTGTTTCAAACAAAATACATTTCCCTATAAAAAACATTGTTGGGTGCCATGGAACCTTATGAACGGTTTTAAAACAAAATACTTTTCCCTATAAAAATCATTGATGGGCGCACTGGACCCTCTGGCCACCACCACTATGTGTATCTTCATCTTCTTCGTATGCCTCGTGTGTTGCCTGCTGCTGCCTCTTGAATTGATCAGGTTTAACAACTTAACCAGATGGCTGTGACTTAATGAGGAGCTGCCTATTATCCAGGTATGTCAAGATAAACTTGAAACCATAAAGTGCCTCAGTTAGGGACAATGTGTACTCTAGCAGCTTCAAACACAGCTGTTTTTATTGATCATTGCAGAAAATATATGTGCATGGTTCTATTTTCCCGAAAAGAAGTCTCACACTCAGTTTTTGTTTGGTTTTAGGCTCTTGTGTGTGATTGTATTCCTGATTGTTTGGTTATGGTCTTTATTTTTGCAGGGAAAAGTGAAATTCGTGAGATGATGATAAAAAAGATTCTTCACTTTCTAATGTTGAGGTAACTATTGTTTGAGTAGTGTTTTCAAAATCAAAATTCATGTTGTGTTGCATTCTTCCCAATTATAAGTAGCACAAAAAGTTTTGTAAGTCCAAGTCCCAAGATTAGGTTTTGGAGGACTAAAGTGCAAGGATATAATTGGCCACAACCTAAAGTGATGACAAAACTTAAGAGTGGATCACAAGGTATGCATTCTCAAATTACAATTTTTATTGTTTTCTGTCATAGTATTGAGAAAGATTACTTTGTAAGAATCGTTTTATTTCTGTTATAGCTATTTATCATTTTATTTTTTGAAGGAGCTATTTGTCATTTTATTAGAAAATCTGTTTCTTGTTTTTGTTTTTTGTAGGTATATAAAGAAGAGAAGTTAGAGCAGTGCCGTCGAATGATTACTATACTGTATAACCTATATTTATTATATGTAGAAGATTATTAATTTGCTGTTTATTGTGAAATTTATTGGAATATTTGAAAGTTTATATATGTTGTTGAATGTAAAAGTATTGAATTTATTTCATGTAATTATAATCTATTACAAAATATTATATATTTGTAATTATGTTGTTGTATGTACATTGGTTGTTATGAAAACGTAATGATGCTAACAAATTGCTTTAAAATTAACGACAATTAAACATTATGTCGTTTTAATACGACAATGAAGAATTATGTTGCTAAAATGTAACGACGAGTTAATAACTTGTCGTTAATAAGTAATGATGACATCTTATGTCGTCGTTAATAAGTAACGATGATATCATATGTCGTCGTTAATAAGTAACGATGACGTCTTATGTCGTCGTTAATTATTAAAGATGAATTTTGTCGTTAAAACCAATAACGATGGAGCCTATAACGACCACTTGACGACTAAAAAGAAATCATCGTTAAAAGCTTTAACGACCAACTTTTGAGCCTATAATGACCATATTTTTCATTGCTAAAAGTCCTTTTTCTAGTAGTGTCATTTGATCACCTTTTTTCAGCTTATCAAGATTACTTGTATTAACTAATTTTTTCACCAAACACGTAACTTTTGGTTTTACGCGTTGAATCGTGTAATAATAAAAAAAGTAAAGTTGGAGTTACTTTTTTATTGTATTGGCAGAAGTACAAGGGATGGACTGGGCCGATTTGGCCCGACTCGGTACCCAGCCTGTTACTGAGCGGGGCCAGCCGACCCGGACCGGGACCGAGACTTTGGGCTCGAACCAGAGTACTAGGGGCCGGCTTCGGGCTGCTGAAAAGGTGGACCGGCCCGACCGGTCCGGGCCCTTTTTTTTAATTTTTCAATTTTAAGGGTTGCTAAGCGGGTGGGCCATGGTGGTTTGGGGGGTTAGGGGTAGGAATAAATTAGAAAAAAAAATTAAAAAAAAAATACCTAGACCAGAGTCACCAGACCTGTGCCCGGCCCGGCCCGATCCCGGTACAAACCAGGCTGGTACCGGACCTGCAACCCAAAAATCCAGGCCCCCCAATCCCGTCCCGTGTCCTGACGCGGTCCATCCCTAAGCAGAAACATGGTAATTAGGATCTCAAGACACAGGAAGTTGTGTCCGCCTCGGGCATCTGCAACGTCCTCCTTTTAGATTCTAATCTGGGACAACTAAAAGACTTAATTTTTTTAATAAAATATATTTTAAATATTTTTTCCATAAATCGTTAGAATTAGTCAATCCATCCATTTTAACTAGAACTTCATGAATTTTCATCAAGCAAGTTCCTAATGTTTTAAATACAAAAGGTTAAAAACTTAGAATAAGATGTCTTATCCGATCATGGACTATTGAAAGAAACAAGATGATCTCCAAATATGAGATTGCTCTCATGTTACATTTAGGTGGAATTATTTTAAGAAATCGGTGAAAAGTTGGCTTATTGTTATCAATTTTTCATAATTTAATTAGATGGAGAGATGATTAACGTTCACGAACTCTCGGTGATCATGTCCTTATTCAGTTCTTCATAGTGTAATCATACGATTCATACCATAAGATTCATATAGTCATCATATACTCATATAAAGTAATCCATGGAATAAATGTGTAAACTTGGTGCCTTGATCCTCAACTTCAACACGAATTAAATATTATGAACAGAATGGAAATCATATGAGTTGAGTAATTTCAGAAACTAATCAACAAGGTATTTTCTCAGTAAAGCACTTGATGACCGAAAAGGGAGCCTTTATCAATGCCACACCCATCTCTATTATCCAGGGCACGCATACGCAACACGGGCAAATGCATGTTATCATACTCCTGCCAACACCAAATCCATTTAATCAACTTCTAGCCCAAATAACGAATTATCTAGAGGTGACATTTTATTTCGGAAATGTACAAGTTTTTTTGTATACGTCATTTTTGTACGCGACCTTTTACACTTGATCTTGGAAAGAGAATTGTTTTTCGCACCAACATTATGTAGGCGTTATTTTTCTACACGTCATTTTGTACGCGACATTTTACACTAGATCGTGTGAAGAGAATTGTTTTTTGCACCGGCAAAAACTTTTATTTGTGCCGCAGAAAAAAACGTTGTCGGTGCAAAAACAATCCCCTTCACAAGAAAATTCGGCCGACGTGTAAAATGTGTTCACTAAGAATGACTGTTTGATTTCAGATTCTTACTCAAAGGACTATTTCTATCTTTAAAACAATTGTCATTTAGAAACGAACGTCACTTGCATAGTTTTTGTACAAATTTTTAAATGCATCATTGTTAACTTCTAAAATTAAGAGTCCCTTTAATTGCATTGAAATAAACTAAATCAGCTCAATTTGCTAAAATTTATGAAATTTCAGAAATTATCGAATTAGTTGAGTCTTTTGAAATTGAGAGAAAATCGTAAGAAAAAAAGCTTAAATAACATCTCACTTACTTGAGTGAGTTCAATTAGAAAATAACTCAACTTTACTTATTTTGAATATTAAAGAATTCAGCCCCTAAAATAAAAATTATAACAAAATTGATCAATAAAACTGTCACAGAAAAGAGGGTTACCAAACATGTTCTAATAATGGAGAAAACCGCGAAAAATAAAAGTAAATAGACTAAGTATTTTTTGGGTGAGAAGTTACGTTATTTTTTAGTCTTTTTCATGGATGCTGGGATGATTGTGATACATGAGAAAAACCTATTAAAGCCTTGAAATTTATAAATTATGAATCGTAACTGCGATATTTTTCTCTCGTCTCTGTTACTCTGTTAGGATTCTTAAATAACAATTCCAGTTTTAGTATAAGTTTTTCTTCCAATTTAAAAGTTAAAACCGTCGATTGAAAATTAAAAAAGAGGATCAATTGGCCCAAAAATTTGCAATACGTGTGCAAAAGAAAGAGTTAATTAAGTCGAATTAATTTATAAAAGCAATCTAAAAGAACATTTTCGGTAGATTTCACAAAAAAAAATGGAAGAGAAAATGGAATACCCGAGGATCCATACGACGACGCCGACGAGAGAGAGGAGAAGGCAGATGAAAGCGAAAGGAAGGCCCAACACGAATCCTAGCGGCCGGCAATCGCCGTCATCTCCGCAGCACATCGTTGACTCTCTCCGACCTGTTTCCCTGATCTCCGGTAGGCCTTTTGGTGAGGAACGACTCTGTCTTCTAGATTTCTTTTCTAGGTTTAGGAGCCTAACTAGGGGAGACAAAGGGAAAAAACGGAAGCCGTAGATTTTATCGTCTTCAAGAATTTCACTTTTTGCACATTTTCGTTTACACCAACTTTTTATTAACCGTATTCTCCGTATACTCCTTTCTTTCAAAATAATTAAAAAATCTAACTTCTCTTTATTAACCCTTTGTTTCATTTCTCAAAAAAAAAAAACCTTTGTTTCATTTTATTTATCTAACATATCAAAATTTATTCATGTCTTAATTTAAAATTTGCAATGTTATAAGACTTTCAATATAACCTCTACACATGTACACTTTAACTATTAAAACCGATTTAACTATATGTGGATGATTTAAGTTTATCATCAATCAACTTTAAAATCTGCAAATTTCAATTCAATTTAGAGTGGCTAAATTTAAATTCAATTTGAACATTTTAGTTCCTTACACTTTATTTTCCTGTGGATAGCTTTTTAAGTTCATAAAAAAAGTGTCATACAAATTACATTAAATGATCAAACCAAACAATGTGAATATTTTACTTGCACTTTATTTTACGTCCTACCAAACTCCACCTAAATTGAAATCCGATAATAAGGAGTAGTATATAAATCCGTATCGTCACCGACTAGTTAAAGAGGACGGATATGAGACCAAAGATTTATCTGTTCGGAGACTCCATCACGGAAATGTCATTCGAGGATGGTGGATGGGGCGCTGCCCTGGCCAATCACTTCCGCCGCACGGTGCGCCTCCGCCGCCCCCGGCTCCCAGGCCATCTTCTTCATCTCATTTTTTGTTCTTTTGATGATCATCACCATATTTTGATTTTGTTTCAGGCTGATGTGGTGCTGAGAGGGTACAGCGGTTACAACACAAGTTGGGCTCTGAGGATTCTTGAAAAGGCGGCTTTCCCGGCAGAGGAGTGTGCGGGTTCGCCGCCGCTGGCGGTGACGGTGTTTTTCGGTGCCAACGACGCCTCTCTTCCGGATCGATCATCTTCCTTCCAGCACGTGCCTGTTGATGAGTACCAGAAGAATCTGCGATCCATTGTCTCCTTCTTCAAGGTATTCTTGTTGATCATACACTGACCTTAACTTGGCTTCCAAAAATCAGTCATTATTATTGTTTTGTTGAAAACTTCAATCTTCAATTGGACGCCGCTCAATAACTTCAAGTAGCCAAAAATAGGGTAGATGTGAATCATGTGAGTACATTTCTTTTAGAGACTTCTTTTTATAGAAATGAAAACTGGTGTTTTTGGAACATCCAAAAAGAAGTACACTTCTTGGTGCTTCTCATGTCTCACACAACTTTACCGAAGTTTGGGATGGACCGTGAAAAAAAAATTATACTTTCTCCTTTCCATAAAAGTTTTTTAAAAGATAGTATAAATTTTTACACATAAATTTTACGCTAAAAATACAAAGATTTTTAAAATTTGATGTGGGCTGGGCCCCCCTCTACTTCTGCCCCTGGACCAATTTTGAGTAATAGGTTGAATAATAAATTACAAATTGTGAGGTTGGGAATTGTGCGGATGATAATATTAAGCACATATTTCTTACTTTCAATGAAATTTACAAATTTTCTGGGACAACTAAAGAAAGAAATTTGTCATTTATGGGATGGGGAGTAGTGGAGTACCATTTTTGGAAGTTACAATGGAAAAATACAATGAACAATTATAATTTTATTTTTTAATCAGTGCCAAAATCAAATTTATCTAATTTACAAGATTTCTATTGTCATCAAGTACTTCATATTTCTTTTTCAGTACGTCTCACTAAGATTGTCTCATACCATATTTGAAAGAAAAAAAATGTGGTTCTAAATCATTATTACTTTATAAATTAAATATCAACCATACAAACTCACATTCTTTAGTAACTGCACCGATCTCTTCATGTCTCAATGCTAGTGGGACATGTAATACTTCTGAAAATATACTCAGACTACTTTACTTAATTATTCCCTACAAATTGTGTCATTTTTTAATGAGAACTCCCAGCCATGGTAGTATAAGTTACTAAGTGAGAATTTATAACCAAATACATTGTTGAGTTTGTCAATATGCTGGGGTTTCCAGGTAAATTATACCTTGGGATTGGCCCACCATGTTGATGGTGTGCCGACCCCAAAACTACGTAGTTTTTTTAATTTAAAAACAGAGCAACTCTTCTTCCTTTCGGGTACATTGAAATGAGGTGACACCAGCTTTCTTATTACGCTGAATTGAATCGACTGAAAGAGAGAAGGAAATGAGCTCCAATCGTGCGGTCGCCGTCTGGAGTTGAAAGGTCGTTGTTGGGGACCTTCTTAGCCTGTCAAAATCGCAACCTCATCTGTAGAAATTTCATCTACGTTGCAGATCCACTTCGGCCATTCTGTCTATTACTTTCCTGCCCTTGGATGTTAAGCCGACATATAGATGACGTGCTCCTATGTATCCAGAGCCTATGATTGTCAATTTACTCATCTTGCTCACCAAAAGTAAAAAACATCCCAACAAATTCACACACACATATATAGATATGAATTTAGACAACTTACATTTTGATTTGGTTCAACTTACATTTTCATTAACCTAATTTACATTTCTATTTAGCTCAAGTTACATATCTACAATCGTGAATTACATTTCAAATTTCCTCAACAAGCTACATCTTGCTTACACTTGATTTACATTGTCCATAATGCGAGTTACACCACAATATCAACCACAATATCAACCCCTTGTGTTGAAACAAAAAAGTTATTTTTTAAAAATCCTTTTGATGGTCGCGATATTAAAAACAAAACACATTTACGTAAATTAATTGTGCAATTAGACTCTCTTTTTTCATTGATTACATTGAAAGCAATATTTTACTTCTTATACTATGTATTTGACAAATAACATTACGAATGGACTTGAGTTACATTCATGAATAACGTAATTTACATATATTTACACGCGAGTTACATCGTTCACGCTAGTGGGACAAAAGAAAAAAAACAGTTACTGTTCACGCGCGTATTGTACACACGTGTATTGTTCACGCATGATTTTTTTACAAAAATTATGTAAAACTACGTCGTTTTGAGCATGGAGCATGATGCTCCCCCAGTATACGAACTGGGGGTTTGCACATATGGTTGAATAGTGAAAGTAGGAGTTACAATTATCTCTGATTCCATGAATAAGTGCAGTAAATTTTTCTTATCAAAATGGAGAAAACCACATTGATCGGGTCGTGGTTGTTATTCTTTTACGGGTAATAGATCGTGTGGTTGCGGTTTTATGCATACCCGCCTCGATACGGTGATACGTGCTCTTTTTACTTGTATATATAAATGTACGTTGTTACTACAATTAACGAAAGTAAGGATTTCCTTTGAGAATCCACCTCGTTCGGTTCGGTAGTAGACCCCTGTGCCCAGTGATTTGTTCTTTATTGATAACTCTTTTTGTATTTTTAAGTATTTATGGGCTTAATTTATTTGGGCTATCTTCTTCCTCACTGTTGGTCTACTAGGATTTTAAGTGACTTCTCAGGCCTAGGTTCACCCTAGCAGTTCCTAGTGCCTTTTGTTGGCTTTTGAAACATTGATTTTCTATTAAAAATTAATGAGCCATTCTCTAGACTTTGATATGAACATTGAAGTATTTTTTTTGTTTCTCTAGGAATACTTCTTTTTAACGTCTAGAACTGTCTACATTGTCCTGTCCCATGGTGTGGTGGTGTTGAAGTGTTTTTTCTTTATTAATAAAAAAACAGGGCTAAACTACACTCTATGACTCTTGCCCCTAAAATAACATCCTATTGCATCATTCTAGTCTCAATAGGCTCTCTTCATATTCGGTGTGTTTGTGATTCCATATAATAAATTTCATTCATTATACACATATAGGTTTAGCATACCATATCGAAAATGTGAGGTACGATGATGTTTTTGCAGAAAAAATGGCCAACGGTGCTTGTTATCCTCCTTACACCGCCCCCAATTGATGAAGCAGCGCGCCTTCTGTATGTAAACTTCATCCACATTAATTACTACGTTTGTAATGTTATTTTTTACTTGCACACATATATTTGCAGTCACCGGTTTGATGAAAACAAATCGGGCCTTCCGGAGAGAACAAATGAAGCTGCAGGAGCTTACGCCAAAGCGTGTATTGATGTTGCCTCAGAGCTTGGAGTTCCATCTGTGGATCTCTGGACAAAGGTTCAGCAAGTTTCAGACTGGAAAAAAACTTGTTTGAGGTGCGTGTGTACATGTTTGATGATTCTATACATATAACATATTTATGCAATTATACATATAGACATGCAACACATGTCTATAAATTGCAGTCCGTAACTCTATTGCAGTCTGCAACGCAAGCACAACCTTGAACGCAATTTAAATTTGAAACCACGGTCGATATTGCTTAATATGATCTTACCGTAATTAAAATGCAGCGATGGTTTGCACTTGGCTCGTGCGGGGAATGGAATCGTGTTTGGTGAGGTGGTGGATGTGCTCAAGAAACAAGGGCGCAATGCAGAATCTCTGCCATCAGATTTCCCCATCATTGACAACATTGATCCAAATGACCCTCTTAAATCTTTCTAAAACAAATGTCATTTGTATTTTATCAAATGTAAGCAACTATATTTTAAATAAAAGAATCAAATCATATCATTAACATTCACATCAGAAGGCTACAAACATTTAGACTAGAGGAACCCAAAATATTTCAATGTTCATATCAAAGTAACTTTTTTGGGGTAAGAAGAGCATGGGGTAAGTAAGTGAAGGTGAAGGGTATATTTATGGAGTGACGCCAAACAATATAACCATATGAGCAAATATTGCATTCACCTTAGTAAGAATCAAAAGGCTTGGACAAAAAGTTTTGTTTCTTCTTCACTTCCAAAATATTGGACGCCTTTCTTCGAAGTCGGGAGGTCTCTGGTATATAAGGATCGCGGCATTGATTAAAATTCCAGCGGTTAAAGCCCATATAATATAAACGCCGTCCTTTGATTGATGGTTAAAGAAATGCAGTAGATACTTGTTCCCCATCCATTCCCGCTCCTCTCTTCTGTTTTCATTCTGCAAATTTGAATAAGCATTCCCATAAATGAAATAGAAATACGATAACTTTCAAGACTTCATAAGACTCAAATATGAACCTTAAGAAACATCTCTAAGGGTGCATAAAATATTGAGTCTACTTCGTCAGCATTTGCAACTAAATTCATTGAACTTTTGTCCCAAACTAAGCCAACCACTGGAATTACCGTCATGCCTTGCTGCAAAATGAAGACAGTTTTAAAAGAGGGGAGTCTAATACGAGCATAAATTACTTTATTTAAATAAATTCTAAAAGAACTTTTCATTTTCGAATAGAAACCTTCAAATGGGGTGGAGGTATTTAGAAATTCAATACTGCCTCCCTATCGTAATGTTTGTTACAATAAGGTTTGGCATAAGGTTTCAGAGAAAAATAGTAAGGGTAATAAATAGTGTAGAAAAAGCAGAAGAGGTAATGAACAAGTATGAAAGAAAGTAAAAATCAGAAAATATAAAGATATTTGAGTATTTTAATGTTCATCATGAATTGTGCACAAAGGATTACTTGAGTTTGGTTTTATTCAATTTTTCCGCTTCCATTCAATATATATATATATATATACTACCTCCGTTTATATAGGAGGAAAATTCTCAGGTCCAGCACCTCCTGGTCTGAACGTCGTCCGAACACCGCCGTTTGGGGCGTTTCCCGGTGGAATTTTTTGATGAAAGTTTTTGAGCATGTTCCTCATCAAGTCTAGTTTATCCATACCAAATGTCAGCTTAAAATTCGATCGGGAAGGCAGTCAAATAATTCGTTGAAGTTAACTGCGTTTTTCTATGTATAATTTAGCGCAGTTCACTTCAACGAATTATTTGACTGACCTCCTTATCGAATTTTGAGCTGAAATTTGGTATGGATAAACTAGACTTGATGAGGAACATGCTAAAAAAATTTCATAAAACAATTCCTCCGGGAACGGCCCCAAAAAATTCCTTCGGACGGCGTTCGGACAGAAAAGTGCTGGACAGGAGAATGACTCTCTCTCTCTCTCTCTCTGTCTCTCTAGTTCATCCATACCAAATTTGAGGAAAAAAAATCAATCGGGAAGGTCGTCAAATGATTTTTTGGAAGATAACTACGTTTTATATGTATATTCGGACATAGTTATCTTTCAAAAATCATTTGACGACCTTCCCGATTGACGATCTTTCAAATGATTTTTGGAAGATAACTGCGTTATATAACTGAATTGTGCATTAGGTGAGACTGAAATGTGCATTAGATGATGCTGAAATGTGCATAATAAAAATTTAAACTCAAATGTGCATTACGTTGAATTTTTTTATGTGGAACTGAATTGTGCATTTGGTGAGACTAAAATGTGCATTAGATACTATTGAAATGTGCAGAATAAAAATTTAAACTCAAATGTGCATTAGGTGAAACTGAAATGAGCAGAATAACAGGTACAAGAATGACACTGTATCGTGCCCTTTGTGCTACACATTTCAATTTTACCTAATACACATTACAGTTTCAACTAATGCACATTAATTTCACTTAAAGCAAATCTAACGGTCCAGATTTATTCTCATTTCTCTCCTAAAATCATGTGCTTATTTGAACCAAAGGGGCAAGGGGGCACATTCCCCGGGCCCATCTTTAGTATGGGCCCATAATTTTTATATGTTATTATATTATATATATTTATAATAGATTAATTAGTATTAATATTAATTAATATATCACTACATGTCTCCGTATAATTAACCGAAAGCCCAGTTAAAAGCAGAGAAGGCGAATCGATTTCACATTTGGCCGTCGTTCCTTCATATCCTAATTGGGAATTGAGAGAAATCAATTCTCATCTTGATAATTTGAGAGTTTAACATCATCAGTCATGTTTTCTTCTTTTATATAGTTCTGGTTTATACTATCATTCGTTCCCTTTTAATCGCAACATATTGAATTTTACACTATTCACATGCTCTACTTTGACTACATTTTACGCTATTATTCTATGAAAATTATTTTTTAAAAAAATATCGTTCAATTCATCTCATTACAAATATTCAAAATTTAATTTTTAATATTTTTTTACTAATAGAATTAAGATATAATTACGGTCAAAGACGTGCGTTGGCAAATGTGAATTGTTGACCGTTGCAATTGAAAAAAAATGGAGGGAGTAATTTGTTTCATGTTTTACGGACACTCAATTTTCTTCTTCTGACTCATCTCTTAAACTCTCTTCTATTGCACCTCAGCTAGACAGACATTTCAATTAATTCTTCCATCTTCATCTACGTGAAGTCTGTGCAGGGGCCTTTACCATTGCAGACCAGCAATGATGCAATTGATTTTGGGTTTCTACTGCTAACTTTGATGAGTTTTAAATAAAAAATTTCACTGACCAGGCTGTTGATTACACTTTACAAAGTGCTGCCTCCCTAAGATCTAATTGCCCAGCTTCAGCCTTGAGATTTCAGAATAATTTGGGGTTTTCTTTCTTCAAATTCCTTGTTTCATTATAAACTATTATCATTCATGAGGATGTCAGGTTGTGTCATGTGTCTTTATAATTAATAGCCAGGCTTGTAAAATAGCCTCAATTTTCATCTAAAATGTTAAAAAAACCATTTGTCTGGCAATGACAAACATTTGAGATCTTCCATAGTTCCATGTCTCAAGAGAGCTAGATTGAATGGCGGGTGCTTTTATGTATTGAGAAGGGGATGTTGCAGGATAGATAATATTGACCTTGACTCTGTCATAGATGATTTTCCATCCAAGAATGCTCGATGGAATTGTTTTTTGTATGAACTATGTTGTATCATGCATTATGTAATGAGTTTTGCTATTATAAAAAAATTGCTTTTCGCCTTTATAATTTCAAGGGCCCATTATTGTAATATGTCCCGAGTCTTCAAAATGTCACAACCGGGTCAGACCGGACAGGAGGGTGGTCCGTCCACCTCAATTCGAGTTGGTTCCCGATGGTATTTATTGCTGAAATGTTTTGTGTATATTCTTCATCGAGTCTAGTTCATCCATACCAAATTTGAACAAAAAATTCAATCAGGAAGACAGTCAAATGATTTTTGAAAGATAACTGCGTTTTATATGTATATTCCGGTGCAGTTATCTTTCAAAAATCATTTGACGACCTTCCCGATTGAATTTTTTGCTCAAATTTGGTATAAATGAACTAGACTTGCTGAAAAACATACACAAAAACTTTCAACAAAAAATACCACCGGAACCCACCTCAAATTGAGGTGGCCGGACCACCCTCCTGGCCAGACAGGAATACTACTATGTATATTATATATATATATATATAGAGAGAGAGAGAGAGAATCATTCTCTTGTCCGGCAGGTTTTGGTCCGAACACCGTCCGAACACCGCTGTTCGGGGCGGTTTCAAGTGGAATTTTTCGATGAAAATTTTATAATATGTTCTTGATGAAGTCTAGTTTATACACAAAGAATTTCAGCTAAAAATTAGACCGGGAAGTTCGTCAAATAATATTTGGAAGTTAACTGCGCAAAATTATACATAGAAAAACGCAGTCAACTTCCAAGAATTATTTGATAGCCTTCCTGATCGAATTTTGAGCTGAAATTTTTTGTGGATAAACTAGACTTGATGAAGAACATACCATAAACATTTCATAAAAAAATTCCACCGGGAACGACCTCGAACAGCGGTGTTCGGACGGCGCCTCAGGTCCGAACGTTCGGACCTGAGAATTTTCCTATATATATATATATAATAGAGATCAAATACAAATCATGCTTAATTTACAAAGTACAAACTTATCTTGTCCATCCGATTAGTTGATCTAAAGGATATAAATGCAAGGTGGCATTTTTGTAATAAAACCTAACTTTTCTAGGGTGCAACTCATTCAACGTAAATGTGCAACTGCTAATTTATGATAATATAATATGCAACACTTTGAATCTCAAGGTGCATCGTACAAACATTTGCACAATAAGCACAGTTTGTACTTGATCTTTCCCCATATATATATATATATATATATATATATATATATATATATATATATATATATATATATATATATATATATATATATATATATATATATATATATATATATATATATATATATATATATATATATATATATATATATATATATATATATATATATATATAGGGTGCGGTTCCGGTGCAAACCATGCTTCCGGTGCTAACCTACAAACCAATACCATCCCTTGGATTTGAAATAACGGACGGCTGATGAAATATGGGATCCACTACTAAAACGGTGCAGACACACGCATGAGATAAATTCGGATAACTACGTTTTTGAGTTTTAGGCATTTTAAAAGGTAACAATGGTAATTGAAAAGTAGAAGTGGCCAGCAAGTCTAGTTATTTATGGAAATAATTTAATAACTAAATCCATGATTAAACAAATGAGCACCATACAGAAGGCAATCCCAAAATTTCAACTAACCCCCCACTAAAATTTCAACCACCCATGTTTAGCATATTAAAAAAGGAAAGATGCAAGGATTAACGTTGGAATTTTTAGCCATCAACGAAACTTGCAATAACAATCCAATTATTCTTTATTTTGGGAATATTCACTTGTCACTTTTCAAAATTGTTCAAAATTTCACAAAAAGTAAATACACAATTAAATATGAGGGAATAATTCAATTCTTAATTAACCTTTTTATTTTTTAAACTTAAAATATTGATGTTATGGAAATTGCATTATATATTGATAACATGTGCATAGTTTATATTATAACTTCTAACACATGAAATTTGTAAGAACTTAACACATGTAAGAAGTGCCTGCATATTAAAGTTACATAATGTGCATAATAAGATTAATGGATGTGCATAGTATGGTTACGAGATATGCATTATATATTTATAATATTTTCATAACTTATATTAGAACTATATAGTCATAAATATGTCAACGTTGCATTATAGTAGTTCATATCTTGCATTTTATCATTATATCATACGTTGCATCTTTCCGTTGTGGCATCTGCATTTAATAGTTTCATATGTTGCATCTTATCATTATAACATGTGCATTTTAGGAGTTCATATATTATATTTTAGTATGATGGAATGTGCGCTTTAATACTTCATACTGGTATACTACAACTCATCGCTATGACATCTGCATTTTAGTAATTCATATGTTGCATTTTATGAATATGCATGTGCATTTTAGAAGTTAATACAATGCATATTAGTAAGATGGCGTGTGCATTTTAGAAGTTCGTACAGTGCATTTTAGTAAGATAACATATGCATTTCAAAAGTTCATATTCTGCATCTTATCATTATGACTTCCCATATGCACTTTGGAAATTCATATAGCATCTTATCGTTATGGCAGCTGCATTATATACTCAACTCACATGCATACTAAATTCATGAAATTACATAATGCATAATACATGACAATGTAAGAACATAATAAATGTTTCAGGCAAATGAAGCTCTTAAACATTTTTATTTTTGCATAAACATGAATTAATGAATGTAATGAATACAAAAATTAAAACGTTAAATATAATAAATCTCATAAAGAAAAAAATGTTTTTCCAGCGTGCACAGCAGATTTCATTGTGATGGAGATTAGACATAATTCAAAATTTTAAAATCTGATTAATCTCAAAAAGAACAAAAAACGATTTTCCGACATGCAAGATATCATTGGGATGGAGATACAGATGGATATGAAGATGAATTTAAAAAAAAATCACGAAAGTAGGGTTGAGTATCAGAATCCATGTCATCCCCGGTTAATGGAGGCAAAGAAGTTATACCTAGCAAATTTTACGACGAAGAAGAAATAAAATTCCATATGGAAATGAAATACAACATCATTCGTGAAGAAGGAAGAAAGGAAATAAGAGTGAAGAAGATATGGAAAGAGGTTAAAAGAAAGAGATCGTGGTTTTTTTCTCTCCAGAATTAGAACATATCAAAAGTACTTAAAGGCCCCTCAATTAATTAACTTAGGTAACGGCACACAGTAAGGAACGTACGCGCATAAGATTAAAGAGATGGATGGTTAGGATTAAGTTTGTAGGTTAGCATATTAAGATGGGTTTGCATTTGATCTCTACTCAAACCATATATATATATATATATATATATATACAGGGCCAGCTCAGACATACAAAAGGTCCTGTGCAAAATTGAATATGAGGCCCTAAAGTATAAAACACTATATTAATACTCTCATCATTTTTAAATAATAATCTCCTTAGATCTTTTGTGGGTTTTATGAAGAAAATGGTATGAGTAGTATAGAGGTGTAAGGTAAATGAAAACGTAGAAAAGAGAATATATTAAGAAACGTAAATAATGACAAAGTATGAAAAAGAAAGTAGTTACAAGCTCGTTCCATTCTGTACGAGGGCTTTTGTGCTAATTAATGTAACTAGGCCTTGTGAAATAGATAAATTACACAATTGTAATTAACAATTGTATTTTAATTACATATAAATATTACAATTTAATGCTTGTTTTTAAAAAAATACGAGATAGGAATTTTTAATCAAATAAATAAAGATTTATTATATTATGTGGACTATATTTAAAATTTTGGGCCTTCTGAAATCGAGAGGCCTTGTGCGATAGCACTTCTTGCACGCCCTCATCTACGGCCCTATATATATATATATATATATATATATATATATATATATATATATATATATATATATATATATATATATATATATATATATGGTTTGAAAAAACATACCTTATTTGTAAATGATTCAAGAAGAGTAATAACATGCACAATTGAAGGGTCTAAGCCTATCTCTTCATTAGCCTCCCTTAGAGCTGTTTCAATATCATTGGCATCACCTTCTTCAACTTTCCCTCCTGGCAATGCAACTTCACCTACAAAAACACTAATGTCAAAGGTTGATGACCATATATGATATATATAAAACAATACTTAATTTCTATGTTTCTTTTTAGTCTAAACACTTCCATTGACTATGTTTTTCGTATGAAATCCAGCTGGAGGCGGGCGGTTGGGCAGTTGGGCAACAGTGGCAGCTAGGGAGATGGAATCGAGAAACAGATAAGAGAGTAGATAAGAGAGTAGGAAGTTAGAGAATTAAAAGAATAGGTGAAAGGCATATTAGTTCATACTCCGTATAACTTATTTATTTATTAAATACGTTATTTAAATACGGAGTATTATTTTGGTAAAATAATAACTAGATTGTAGGTTGAGAAATTGAACGAGTTTTAGATCCCATTTGGCACCACTAAAATTGGCTGAATTGACTGTATTGGATGACTAATGGAAAAACATATCTAAAATATTTGTTATTAATAAATTAAATAAAAAATTATATGAAAAAATAGCTAAAATGATCCTCTACAGTAACTTCAACCAATACAGGCAGAAAAGTAACTTCAACCTTACTTTTTCTGCTTATTACAATTTCAGCGCGCGAAATCAAAAGTTACGTGTTTGGTGAAAAAGTTCGCTGATAAGACTAATAAGCCGAAAAAAGAGGTCACCAAAGGGGCTATTAGTTGTATATAGGTAATTTTTTCGGTTTCTCTATTAGTTAAAAGGTTTAAAAAATCAAGAACAACAACATTCAATTCTTACTCCTAAAACAATTTGGGGTCGGCTAACATGAATCGATCTATGATCTCGATGCCAAACAGAGAGACAGACAAGGAGGGAAAAACAGATAAAACGGATAAAATAAAGATAAATAAATACTCCCTCCGTCCCGAAAAGGTTTGCCAAATTCACTTTTGTTGGTCAATGACAATCAACTTTGACCAACTATATTTTTTAATACCTAATTATTTGGAATATGAAAATTATATCAAAATAATTCTTATTCAAAATATTTTCATAAAAGTATAAAATTTATCAATTATATATAAATATAATAGTTAAAATCATTGTCCAAAGTTTGCCATCATTAACCAAGAAAAGTCAATATGACAAACCTTTTCGGGATAGTGGTAGTATAAGATAACAATATATTAAGAATATAAGAAAGATAGAAGATAGAAAAATAAAAGAGCATAAAAAGCTAGAAAATAAAAATAACATAAGAATATAAAAAGATAATGAGTAATTTGAGTTTCATCCCCATTTTATTGTCCGAATTGGACTTTGCTCCCCTCAATCAAGAATATGAAGGCCAACAAAATTGTTAATGGTTGGGCAATTTTGTCTCTTAATATGAGGTTGGGTTGCAAAAACAATGTTTTTAAAAAACGGAGTGCAAAGTTCAATTTGGACAATAAAATGGAGTGCAAACTCAAATTATCCAAAAGAGAAAGAAATAAACGATAAAAGAAAAAAGAAGGAAAACGAAGGAAAAACAATCGTTCACACGGATCTGCGTCCTTCACTTTGGTCTCTCCAAAGCAATATTCTCATCAGTTTTTGAAAATTCAATAAAATGAATTCAATAATATTTAAAAATAATAATCAAACATTAATAAATGAAATGTAATGAGATGAAGCATCTGAATAGTGTAACATTTATTAGGTATTTGCTATATAAAGAAACTCATAAAAGTATATTTTAAGCTTCTAGGATCTATGTTTCATTTTTTCCAGTAATCCCAATTGGAGAACTCACCTGGACTGGCAGACAGTTTAGAGGATCTTTTGGTCAGAACAACACAAAGTTCGCCGCTTTCTCCTTCGAACAAACAGATCAAAACCGCAGCCCTTTTAGATTTGGATATTGGTGGGCTGATAGTGATTGGGTTTGTAGCCGATTTTGAATTCAACCCCATATTTTGGGCAACTTTATCGTCTGCTTGACCCTTTGAGGGTTCGTCCAGACTGTGAGCCAGCGGCTTATACAAGGAAAGTCTTCGGACCAAATTGACGAGCATTTCGGATCTATGAACACCGCTGGGATCCATAGATGAATCCAGTCAGTAACAGCCGAGTTTGGATAGGCGGACTGGTAGAGAGGTTCACTGGACGTGATTTCCTTTGGTGACCGGTGCTTTTGACTTGAAAGCTAGGATGGCAGTTCACCTAACACCACTTTGGTGCATTTGTTAATAAAAAAATGTACCTGTACGGGTAGCTCAGTTGGTCAAGTCGTGGAAAAATTGGATCAAGTGATCAAGTTCGAAACTTGCAGTGACAGTGTAGAGGTTACAAAACCTGAAATAAGGCTGGAACTTTGGTGCGCACGTGTATAAGATCTACCGTCACTTTACTGACTGAGTCACCGTGATTAACTCTCTCACCATCCTGTCAGGTCGGGATGTGGGGCTCCTGAGGTGGGAGATTCCACCTTTTGGACCAAGTTAATAAAAAATGCAAGGTTTACGTCCTATGAACTCAACCTTTTTTTTTTTTACTTTTGTCCCCTCACTTCAATCATTAGATCCGGCAACGACTCTACCTGGATCGATAAGTACCCTCTAATTCATTGTCATGTTATTCAAAAAATATTTAATTTTATTTTTAGAAGGGTTTTAATACATATTACTATATGGTATGAAATTGATAAAGGCAGTAGTGCAGTTATTAAGAAAATTAAAATTATTTGGTTGGTATTAAATTGATAAAGTGTGAATAAAGTAATAATTAAATTGACCAAATGAATAGGAACTGAGACAAATAGACAATAATAGTGGGAAAGAGGTATTAGTTAACTAGTTATTACTCTACAATTGATTTTGCTAGTTTTTGGGGCCCGGTCTTGTATCTTGGAAGTCCAAAAAGAAGCCATTTGTTTGAAAGTCGTCTACATAGGCGGAATACTTTGCATGTTTGTTCTATGTTATTTGAACTTGGTTATCCTATTCAAGATCCTGTTCCGCTACTATGTTGTACGGAGTAATATTTATGCATCTTATTTGATTCATAATCTTGTTCAACATGCTCGTAACAAACATATTAAAATGATTATCAACTTTGTTTCTGAACAGGTAGCACAAGGAGTTTTTGACGTTGATTATGTGGGAGTGGCCCTTCTCTTCCCCTTTGCCCACCCACTATAGCTTTCCCAACTTCAAGAAGAAGAACCAGAGCAAAACTCAGGTTCATCAGGCTGAATGTGTAGGAAAAAGTTGTGATTTTTTTGGAAAAGGAATTGTGGGGTTTCTTGTAGATTCGAATGTGGCCCAGGTTGGATTTTAGTTCTTTCTTGACGTCCATGGGGACGTTGTTCATCATATTCGTGGTGCTGATCCTCCTCTTCACTTGGTTGTCGAGGAAGCACGGGAACGCCGTGGTTTACTACCCCAACCGGATTCTCAAAGAGTTGGATCCGGTTGAAAACGGATATGCGACCCGGAACCCGTTTGCGTGGATCCGTGAGGCCTCTCTTCCACCAAAGCTGATATCATCAGAATGTCAGGCATTGATACGACTGTCTACTTTGTCTTCCTCACCAATGTCCAGGGCCGGCGCTGGGCAAGGGCTGGGTGTGCAATGCCACGGGGGGGCCATAAATATTGAAGGTCCAAAATTTTTAAAAAGTGGGCAGTAGTATTACCTAGTGCAAGCCCAAGAAAATTAGAGAAAAATAGAAGGATCTGATTTCCAATGCATCTGTTCAATCAACCATTGTCTATTCATCTCAGACGCTCCGTCGCTCACCACACCACAATTCTTCAATCGCCCAATAAGTTTATCTTCTTTTAAACTTATAAAGAATGATTTTCTTAACTTGTTTGGATTATTATTTATTAATCTTCTTGATTATTATGTAATGTGATATATTGTGATTGATTGCCTATTTTAATTATTTATAATTATTAGAGCCATTACTCTATTACGCCTACTAACTTACAATGAAATTTAACAAATTAGGTTGTCATTTCTGTTTTTCTCTAGCTAATTGCCCAAGTAATTAAACTTTGATTTGGAAGAATTGACGAAATAAGTATACTAGTTTTTTTAATTATATTCAACAAGTTCGTAGAGTATGCTATTACTTATTAGGATGTTAATTTAAATTCTTTAACAAATCAGAATTCCTTAATTTTACATGATTAGTGGAAGAATTCTACCAACATGGTAGTAATTATGTGTCCAAAGAATATCTTTTTTTAAATGAAGTGTATTTTATTAATGAATATTTTTATTTTTACTAGTCTATTCGTAAGTAACTTGTATTTTAGAACAAATTCTCAGTAATTTCTCACTATTATCATCTTTATTTATGTTCTTTTTTTACTTGTGTCGGAAGGAAGGCTCAATTTTTTTTAATTGCACAGGGTCTCCACATTCTCAGGATTGCCAATGCCTTGGGCATTTTGGTCATTTCAGGCCTAACACTTCTGCCAACACTCCTTCCACTTGCTTCAAGTGATCATAGATTCATAGTGTGAGGTTAGACAATACCACCAGCGAAGGGAGATGACGTAACAATGGAAATTGTAGTATAGCAGAAAATATAGAGAGAAATACAATGGCTTTTAAACCGTGCCAACTCTCCGACTGACTCCGAGTCCCAAGCAAAAAGAATAATCCCAGCCTCCTCTCTACTCTACCCTCGGCCTCTATTTATACTAGCTCTTCTCATATTATTATTATTGTCATTATTAATATCAGTGTTAATCTGCCCGAGTCCTATCAAAGCATACTTGCCCTCATTGCCTTCTTGGCTTTGCTTCCAAAGTTTCTTTTGTTTTTATCGAAGGCCGAGGAGATTCCTTCACAGAGCCACGTCACAAGGGCTGCTTCCGGGAAATATTTTTATTTCAGTGTTCTGAATGTTTTCATCAGTGTCACAGTGGAGTCCACCCTTTTTGATACTCTCAAGTCTATTGAGGATGATCCAAACAAGTTGGTTCTCCAGGGAGTGTAACTTTCTTCCTGACTTATGTGGCTCTCCAGTTTTTTGTTGGGTATGTGCAAAACTGAAGCCGAAATAAAGGGGGCCTGGACTCCTGGTGATTTAGGATATGCCACACGGTTTCCTGGTGAGATGCTGATTCTAACCATTTGTCTCTGCTATTTGTTTATTGCTCCCATTATTATTCCTTTTGGGGCAGTCTACTTTGGCTTGGGATGGCGCCTTCTTCTTAATCAGGCACTCAAAGTGGTTCCCTCATTTGAGAGTTATGGACAGATGTGGCCACATATGCACACCCGCATCTTAGCGGCCTTGGTTCTCTATCAGCTGACAATGTTTGGTTATTTTGGAGTGAAGCTGTTTCACTTCACCCCAGTTATCATCCCTCTGCCTATATTGTCGTTCATCTTCGCCTTCGTCTTCAGGAAGAGGTTCTACCGGTTTTTCCAATGTGTACAGCCTTGGAAGCAGCTTCCCATGAGTTGAAAGAGGTTCCTAACATGGAAACCATCTTCAGGTCTTTCATCCCACCATGTTTTGGTTCAGAATAGTCAGATGGGGATCGTTTCGAAGATGCTTTGTCACATGCTTCAAAAACAGCTTCCAGTGTCTGACTTGCAAAAAAACTGTTTCATGGTGTTGTTCCTATAATTCATAGCTTTGTTGCAGTGTTATGTTGGGCTATTTTACAACTGTTGGTCAATGTGATTGTATATAGTCAAAGGTGATTATATATATCGTCAAAGGTTTGATAAAAGCGTGAACCAGATTTAAAAAAAATGTCTTGATCTTGTAGACGTTTCTACTAAAAGTCTCTCCAATCAACATTTTCATTTTGTAAAAGACAACATGCGCGTTGTTTCTCCCATATAGCTTGTAATTATATACTTTTTCTATTATATAAATATGTCTATAAAAGCTAGCATAAAAAATAAAAGTTTTCCAAATTGTGAGTGAGTAAATTATATTGTAACATTGTTAAGAAGAAAACACTTTGCAATGATTGATACTCTTACCATTTAAATAACTTTCTCTATAGTTATTCACATTATACTTTAGTATAACTCAGAAGTGGTTGCAAGTATACTTGAAAAATTAAACAATCACCAAAAAGATAGGGCTTTGTTTTCAGAAGAGCTCAAGGCTGGGAGGTTCTCATGGCTTGATCCTCGCCCGACTCAATAGATAGCCTGCGGGGTTTTGTAGCTACTTTCCTTTGAACGGGCACATTTGGGCTCTTACGTGACTTATGACTTCTCAGCTTATTAGGGCTTTTTCTGCTTTCCCATGGCCGGGAAGCAATCCAACGATCCGTCCAGCTCCAGTCCCAATTAGCGGCCTGCCCGAGTAGGACGTTATTCCATCCATGCATAGTGTTTGAGTTTGCCCTCCACTGTAACAAAATATGGTGTTGTGGAATGTCAATACCAAATACCCATTTCAAACTATTAATAATGAGAATCACAAAAACGTAAACTTGATAAAAAAGAAGCATGGCTCTACCAGACTTGATCCAAGGCAAAACAAATTCGAAATAGAAGTAAACAATTTCATGACTATCATATGTTAAACATGACAGTATATATTCCAAGCGTAATTACTAGTAATTTGGAATAAAAACATGACAATTCTTTTTTGAAATTATGAAAACGTTTTTACTTCTACTTCGTGAATTTTCCCATCAAGTTATTGAAGGAAAAAATCTCTGCTTATTGAAGGTGAAGTTTGTGAAAAGTCAGTCCTCAATAAAAAGTTTGTATTTTTATGCACAACCGGTGTAAGACAAATATGCGAGGTTATTGAAAAAAAAAATCCTCTTCTTGAAGGTGAAAGTTGGTTAAAAGTCCTGAATAAAAAAGTGATGAAAACTTACTTGATGGGAAAATGCATAGGATAAAGCGCGCTCTCGCTTCACTGCAGCGTCTTCTCTTTGATGAATTCTTGCAAGAGCTTCCTCCTTCGTTTCCGGGCTGTTGCTCCACTCCACCTATCATATCAAAGTTTGTTTTTTAAATGCATGTGTACAAAATATGTTAATTTTCTCATCACTTGTAACAATAACAAAAATGCAGACCTCTAAATTCTGAAGCTTTGCCTCGAGCTTTGACTGATTCTCAAGCTTCTTTTGCCGGAGTTGACCCTCCACTACCATGCTAGCACGTCGACCTCTAATCGCTGCTTGCATCTGAGCCCAGTTGTGAAGATACCTCAAAGTTGTTAAGGTTTGCCTTTTTACTGGATTTCCTTCAGTGAGGATCTTCAATTTAGCTACCACTTTTAAGCGGTGTAATGTGTTTCTCGCCTGCAAGAGGCCATAGATTCAGTTATGTCCTAAGCTCAATGGAATTTAGACAAAGATATGATTAACATGATCATATTGGTTAGGCCACATCAATAACTAAATTGTTAACGTACATAAAACTACAACAAAGAACCACAAATCCTAATATGATATTCAACTCTGATTCAATTGTAATTTGATTTTTTCACCTTTAATTTAAGGTCGCCTCCTTTGAGTCAAGTGTTTGTACCACATTGGTAAAACATAGAACAATAAACAACATATAGATTTTGAGCCTCTTAATGAAGCAAAAATAAATGGTCTAAATGAGAGATACCATGTGTCCTCTGAATGCTTTCTGGATCCGTATTGCGGCAATATGTTCAACTGGCATACTAAGAGCCTTGACTTTTAGATCTGAAATGCCATTTCCTAAGTTAGGAAGCTCCTTCATGGAAAGGTAATTGTTGCTTTTGCTCCAAGTTGTCCCTTTAAATCCCTATCACATGGGATAAAAAAGTTAGACTTAGTATATGCTTCTCTTCTTCGATCAAGGTATGGCAAATTGAACATGAACATTAATCATACTCGTATCATATAGAAATATCTTTTGTTCAGATTAATCAGGTGAAATGCACTTCAAGTTTCATTAGCTTTTCAAGGATTGCTGGATGAATCATCTCACATTGAAATAACTTAAAGATACAAATAAACCAACATAATTTCAAGTCAACATTTTGGTTTAGAATAAGATGTGAATCATTGTGTTTACATTCTTAGAACTCATGATTCTGGTTAGAAAATGACATAAACAGAGTCTAGAACAGTGAATTAACTAGAGTTTTTTTCATAGTTATATCCAATGAAAAAGAAGAAAGAATAAATTGTTAGCAATGAGAAAGAATTGCAGCTCACTATTACCTTTTTGCCTCTCCTATCCTTTTCTTTCTTCAGTTTGATTATCTTCTTAAACCATTCTCCAGAACCCATGGCTGATGATATATACAGGTATCTTTCAATTTCCTGCACAGAAATTCATTAATCACTCAAACCTTGTGTTTATGCGCCACAATATTTATAAAAAAAAAAAAAAAAAAAAAAAAAACTTTCCCTCCTTTTCAGGCACTTCTTTATTATATAGCACTTCCCAAATAAAGACACAGATCAATCCACGAAACTAAAAAGATGTAATCTTTAAAGACAAAACAGCAAGAATTAGCATGCCTGTGTAGAGGAGAAACAATATTCAAGCAAAATGAAGGTGGAAAAATGGCAGATCAGATGAATATGGTGATTAGTTAGCTAGTCTAGGAGAAGAAACATCTGAATAAGATGAGGGGGTGGGGTGGGGTGGGGTGGGGTGAAGGAAAAAAAGGTTGGCGTGGAATCCGTCACTAGCCGACATGTTTTCCCACTTTTCAAAAAGCAGTTGAATGAATCACACAATTCACAAAGCAGAAAACGAATTCCTTTTATCTCCCTCTCTATGACACGTTAAAGTATTGCGGTTTAATAATATCTCTCCTTAATCAAAGGACTGAATATATGATTCCATTATAGAGTCATATGTCAAAGTGCGGTCTTAGTATGATCATTCATTTGTAATTTGTATAGTCAATTACCCCGTCTTAATCTATTTTATAAATTAATCCATTTTATAAATTGCTAACCATTTATCTACTCACATTAACTAATTTTACGGCCCTGCTGCCGTGCTGCGCGCACCCCGATTAATGCTTGGCGCACCGAAAATTCGTTAAAATTGGACAATATTTTCCTTATTTTCATTCTTTTGTTTCGTTACTTCAACCGTTCAACACTTCAATGCATAAACAATTTTCCCATTTTTTGTTCATGGATCATTGGTTCTACACTCCTGCCAGGCTGCCACTTTTTTTATCCACTTATGATTTTTTTCCTACCAAATTGATATGGAGTATTGTGTTTCTTATTATAATTATCCCATCTTATTAGTACAATTAGAGTCCGTTTTGTAACACTATTTTTCGGCTTATCAGGCTTATTAGTCAACTTTTTCGCCAAACACGTGATTTTTGCTTGTGCGCTCAGTTATATAATAAGCAGAAAAGGTAAGGTTGGAGTTACTTTTCTAGCTGTATTGGCTGAAGTTACTGTAGATGACTATTTTAGCTATTTTTAGATATATTTTTTTCTTTATTTTATTAATAATAAAATATATTTTAATTTTTTTTTCTTAAATCAGCAGAATCAGCCAATGCACTCACTTCAGTCAGAACTTCATAAATATAATATCAGCAGAATCAGCCAAAACAACCCATTTTGGTGCTACCAAACGGACTCTTAGTATCATCCAAATTATTTTAGATTACTTTGATTATTATTTTAGAATTAGAATGTTAGCGTACTAATTTTTAATCTATCTATATCTTCTAAATACTAAAAATAAATTGATGACAATAACTTTCCTAGTAATGTTTAAACTTGTATTGTGGACGGAATAATTTTTTAGATTTATTTTAATCACGTGACAGATCAGATCAGGTTCCAACTTAGATCATAGTAAAATATATATGTATCACACAGATTCATTTCATTCACTTAATTAGAATATCAATTTTTAATTAAATTTGAATTTGAATTTTGCCATTTGATAGAGATTTTAATGTAGTTTCTGAATAAATAAATTTAAATTATTAAAATTGAATTATTTATCAATAATGAGAATTTAACTTTAATATTAGTCGGTACAAATATTGACTTTGCGAAACAATTTGGGATGAGTTAGTATCTAGTTTTTGTTTTTTAATTTCAAAATATATGTTTATATTTATAATTATTCTTGATATATAGATCATCAAGAACCCATTTGGTAACGCTGAAATCGACTAAATCGGTTGATTCTGCTAAAATTTATGAAGTTCTGGATGAAATGGCTGGATTGACTGTCCCGCTGATATATGTAAATTTATACGAGTTTTTAAAATAAGTTTAATTAATAAAATAAAAGTTGCATGAAAAATAGCTAAAATAGTCAACTACAACATCAACAAATACTACAAGAAAAGTAACTACAATCTTACTTTTTCTTAGTATTACACAATTCCGCGCACGAAATCAAAAGTTACGTGTTGGTGAAAAAATTGATTGATAAGCTTGATAAGCCGAAAAATAAGGTCACCAGACGGACCCTAAAAATACGACTAAGGCAAATACGAGTAAATAATACGGAGTAGCATATTTAATAATAACACATAATTTAGAATTTATTTGATATTTTTCTTAAATGGATTAGATTTTGTAAAATATTACCCATTATAAAAAAAAAATTGAGGTGTTGAGCAATTGAGCATTTGAGTGTGTGGAGGCAGTAGAGCAGTTGATAGTATACGGAATTACGGACTACTCCATATAACACTAAGAAGGATATTTGTATCTTATGAGGGTTACGTTTAGCACTTTCGATGGTGCGCCAAGCAACAGCCTAATTTTATGGCCGAGACTAGGGAAAGATTGGTATTCCCTCTCATGTGATTCATATTCAACCTTGATTTGTTTTGGCCATGTTTTTCTATTTCTATGTCAATCAATTTTTGTGAAAGAATTTCTTGTGTTCGTATGCTTTGCCATGACAATCGATAATTGAATGTAGAACCAACATCCTGGGTTGATTAATTTGTTGAGAGACCAAAAAGTTTTCACTTATGGGCAACTTTACTTTGCAATATAAAGAGTAGGAACAAAAACAATTTTAATATATTCATACTTCAAAAGAAGGCTTGTCCAATAAGATAATGAATACTACGTATTGTTTATAAGGTGATTTTCGAAAATCTAATAATGTTATGTTTCATTTCTTTGGTGCTATGCAATTCAAACATAGTATACTATGTCCCGTTTTAATATTTTCTCTTTAACTAAATTATTATTTATAGTGACCCAGCTATTATACGACATAAACTAATGAATTATTTATATATCAAAGAAAGTATATATTACAAAGTACAAAGTATTCGAACTCCATCAATATGCATCTCGGAGTTACAGCCGGGTAAAACACTAGCTTTTTAGTGAAATAAGGATGAATTTGATAGTATTTCTATTTTCAACCTTTAGATATTGAGAATGATTTTTTTAATTGAGATAATTTGAATTTGCACCTCATTTAATTTTATTGTCTAAATTGAACTCTACACTCCGTTTTTAAAATCATTGTATTTGCACCTCAATCCCATACAAAAAGACAAAAATGTCCCACTATTAACAATTTTGGTTGCCTTCAATATATTCTTGATCGAAGGGCATTTTTGTCTTTTCATACGACGGTTGGAGTGCAAATAGAAAAGGTTTTTAAAAATGGGGTGCAAAGTCAAATTTGGACAATAAAATGAGGTTCACACTCAAATTACTCCTTTTTAATTTTATAATTTCTCATCTCTATAATGTATGTATGTACTTGTACTAAATCTAATGGCATATGGGGGATCATATCAATAATTCTAACTTAGATATGACTAAATGTATAACCAAATGTTGTTCTTAATCATAACGGTGAATTAGTTTTTCACCTTGGGGATCATATCAATAATTCTAACTTAGATATGACTCAATCTGGTATGAACTTTAAAAGTGGAGTTGGTGTTCGTAATCATAACGGTGAATTAGTTTTTCACCTTCATGGTGAATATTTTGGCACTAATCCCTTCACAGCATTTTTTGAAACAATTCTCGTAGCCATTAATGCTTGCAGGGTAAGGTCTCTAAGAATCCACCACTTGGACCTCGAGAACAAACATGTCAAAAAGGGCATCCAACAACATTGCAAAGACCATTGGGATCACATTCATACGATAACGAGAATTAGGATGATCTTGCATCAAATTTACATTTACATCAACGTAATCCCTGAAAATACCAATGTGATTGCTAGATGTATTAGCCTCGGGAAGGATGTGAAATCTTCTCATTTCTTGAGGATTCTTAAATTTGATGCAATCGGTTTCCCTTATGTTGTTTGACTTTCCTCGTAGTAGGTTTTGGTTGATATCCTGCTACACCATTTTGTACTCCCGTATTTTACTCTAATAAATTCTCATTTTGACAAAAAAACAAATTAAAATTGAATTTATTCATTTTTGTTAAATAGGGTGAGCGCTATTTGTTTTAATTAGAATTTGCGAATGTAATTGTAGAACTTGAATTTAGTGTTCTAAGCGACATAAAATTGCTCAAATGAATAATTCTAAACTTGTGTGTAAATAAATATGCTTTTATATTTAATTCCGAATTAAGAGAAGACTAACAATTTTTTGTCAAATTTGGACAAATCTTTTAAATATTGAGATTGTAGGGTTTTTTCCCAAAATACAGTTAAATAAATAAATATTTCCGAAAATAGTGTTAGGTTAAAAGTATTTCCCAAAATACTGGTGAGATAATCAGAGTTGAAGAGCCCCACTTGAAGTGGCGGGTTATATACTTAAGTAAACGTAGAAGGCCAAGAGGAAGGGAAGTTGAGTCATGGGCCCCATCATCAAATAAAATACGAGTATCATGTTTTTTAAAAATTGTATAACTTTTTAATTTGTACTCCGATTGTTATAAAACATATATCAAAATTCATAACTTTTTGTTATCTTTCATATGACACCAATATTGAATATATAAAAATTAATCAATAATTTGACACTTTAAAATATCTACTTTTTAAAGCGCTGTATCTTTTTTTATTTGTACTCCGATCGTTATAAAAAATATATCAAAATTCATAACTTTTTATTATCTTTCATTTGACATCAATATTGAATATATAAAAATTAAAGAATAATTTGACACTTTAAAATATCTACTTTTTAAAGCGCTATATCTTTTTTTATTTGTACTCCGATCGTTATAAAAAGTATAGGGAATTATGGTATAATGTTTTATAAAGATAAGAAAATAACTTGGAATAACATGTCATAAATTGGTCAGGGACCAGTGAATGAAGATGAGGTGCAAAGGTTGGATTATTCATGAATAATGAAAAGGTGAGTATTGTAATAATAACGCTAAAAGGTTGAATTATTAGTTTCCATTTTTCCAAAAATATATCAAAATCCATAATTTTTATTGTCCTTCATATGACACATTGACACATATATTGAATATATAAGAATAAAAAAAAAATTCAACACTTTAAACATATCTATTTCTTAAAGCGCTATATCTTTTTTATTGTAATCCGATTATTATAAAAAAATATATCAAAAATTCTTAAGTCTTATCTTCTATCAATGTTGGTGTAGCACTTTAAAAAAGTAGATTTTTTTAAAGTGTCAAATTATTTAGTAATTATTATATATTCAATATCGGTGTCATATGAAAGATAATAAAAAGTTATAAATTTTGATATATTTTTTACTAAAATCCGAGTACAAATAAAAAAGTTATATAACTTTTAAAAAACATGATATTTTATTTGATGGTAAGACCCATGACTCAAGTTCTCCTTCCTCTTGGCCTTCTAGGTGCGTAAGTT